CGCGTGTGTGCGTGTGTGTGCGTGTGCGTGTGTGTGTGCGCGTGTGTGTGTGTGCGTGTGTGTGTGCGTGTGCGTGTGTGTGTGTGTGTGTGTGTGTGTGTGTGGAGAACCATTTTGTGTACATACCCTGCTAAGGTCAGTGACCTGCTGTTCAATGAACTGAAGTCTAACCCCATTTAAATTTGGAAGAGAATCTCATCAAGCAGAGAAGCAGCAAAGGCAGCATTTCAACAGGAAGAGAACATCTATTGCCAGGAAACTTAGAAAAGCAAAGAGGGTGCGCTAGTAGCACAAAAAGGAAAGGAAGGACCAGATCCAACATGAAAAACCTAGACCCGTGGTGGTGATGGAAGAATTTGATGATTCTTGATCAGTGATGGATCAGTCTATTTAAAAAGAATAAATTTGATGCCCAAAAGGAAGATTTGTATAGATATCTATATGCTTACATGTTGAGTGACTAGTTTTTAAAGATAAAAAAATTCTTCTTCTTTTTTTTTTTTTTAAAGGAAAGTCTACTTTTGGGATTTGAAATAGAGAATGATTTACCTTTCACCAAGATGAAATGTATTCTTCATTGAGTCTTCTACAAACCCATGGAGTCCCTGAAGCATGGTGGATCAGAACACAGACTCTAAAATATATGCTAAGATACACTTCTGATAGGATTTTGAAGATTAGATGACTTGGAATGCTTTCAGTAAATCAACCATTTTTGGACTGGAGGCATGGCTCCAGTGGTAGGGTGGATATAATGAAAAGGACAAACAATAACAAGTATTGATATGCTTGTGGAAAATTTGGAACCCTGATACATTGCTGTTGGAGATCTAAAATGGTACAGCCATATTGCAAGGTAGTTTAGTAACTCCTCAAAATGTTAAGGTAGAATTACCATATGACTCATGGAATTCCACTTCCAGGAGAACTGAAAACATATGTGCACACAAAAACTTAGTAAATGATGCATAACAATTGCAGCATTACTCAAGTAGCTAAAAGCTAGAAACAACCCAAGTGTCCACCTGTGGATGAATAGACAAATAAAATGTGGTACACAAACACATATATATACACACAATGATGGATTATTCATCTGTAAAAAGGAAAGAAATTTTGACCCATGTTTCAGTATGGATGCATCTTGAAGACATTATGCTAAGAAAAATAAGTAGGTCACCAAAGTACAAATATATGATTCCACTTATATGAGATATCCAGAATGGTCAAATTCACAGAAACAGAAAGTAGAATGGTAGTTTCCAAGAACTGGACAGGAAAGAAAGGAAAAAAGGGTGGGGAGGGGGAGTTATTGTTTAATGGGTGCAGAGTTTCTACCCTGAGAAGATGAAAAAGTTCTAGAGATGCATGATTTTTTTTTTCACTTTTCTTTTATTATTCATATGTGCATACAAGGCTTGGTTCATTTCTCCCCCTTGCCCCCACCCCCTCCCTTACCACCCACTCCATCCCCTCCCGCTCCCCCCCTCAATACCCAGCAGAAACTATTTTGCCCTTATCTCTAATTTTGTTGTAGAGAGAGTATAAGCAATAATAGGAAGGAACAAGGGGTTTTGCTGGTTGAGATAAGGATAGCTATACAGGGCATTGACTCACATTGATTTCCTGTGAGTGTGTGTTACCTTCTAGGTTAATTCTTTTTGATCTAACCTTTTCTCTAGTTCCTGGTCCCCTTTTCCTATTGGCCTCAGTTGCTTTTAAGGTATCTGCTTTAGTTTCTCTGCATTAAGGGCAACAAATGCTAGCTAGTTTTTTAGGTGTCTTACCTATCCTCACCCCTCCCTTGTGTGCTCTCGCTTTTATCATGTGCTCATAGTCCAATCCCCTTGTTGTGTTTGCCCTTGATCTAATGTCCACATATGAGGGAGAACATACGATTTTTGGTCTTTTGGGCCAGGCTAACCTCACTCAGAATGATGTTCTCCAATTCCATCCATTTACCAGCTAATGATAACATTTCGTTCTTCTTCATGGCTGCATAAAATTCCATTGTGTATAGATACCACATTTTCTTAATCCATTCGTCAGTGCTGGGGCATCTTGGCTGTTTCCATAACTTGGCTATTGTGACTCCTATTCAACATAGTACTGGAATTCCTAGCCAGAGCAATTAGGCAAGAAGAAGGAATAAAAGGAATACAAATAGGTAAAGAAACTGTCAAAATATCCCTATTTGCAGACGACATGATCCTATACCTTAAAGACCCAAAAAACTCTACTCAGAAGCTTCTAGACATCATCAATAGCTATAGCAAGGTAGCAGGATATAAAATCAACATAGAAAAATCATTAGCATTTCTATACACTAACAATGAGCAAACGGAAAAAGAATGTATGAAAACAATTCCATTTACAATAGCCTCAAAAAAAATCAAATACCTAGGTGTAAACCTAACAAAAGATGTGAAAGACCTCTACAAGGAAAACTATACACTTCTGAAGAAAGAGATTGAGGAAGACTATAGAAAGTGGAGAGATCTCCCATGCTCATGGATTGGTAGAATCAACATAGTAAAAATGTCGATACTCCCCAAAGTAATCTACATGTTTAATGCAATTCCCATCAAAATTCCAATGAGATGCATGATTTTGATGACTGCTCAACCATATGAGTGTATTTAATCCATGTAAGTGCATATTTAAGTATGGTTAGAATTCAAATACTATTACACATATTTCACCACAACAAACACTTGTAAGTGAGTGTTCATATAGGCTTTATTTGTAGTAGGCAAAAAGTAGAAATAACCCAAAAGTGCATCATTAATAGATTTAAAAATCTAGTGTATCTGTACAATGGATAATTACTCTGTCATAAAAAAATTGAGGTACTGATACATAATATAACACAGATGAACCTTGAATACATTATGCCAAGTGAAAGAAACCAGGCACAAAAGCCAAATTTTGTATAATTTCATTTATATGGAATATGTAGGTAATCCATAGAGAGAGTAGGCTGATCAGTGGTCACCAAAGGCCATGGGAGGGTGAAGGAACTGACTCCTACTGGACACTGAGTGTATTTTGGGACTGATGAAAATGTTCTGGAATTAGTGGTGATGGGAGTGATGGCACAAGTGGGGTTTGAACTCGGGCCTATCACTGAGTCACTCCACCAGCCCTTTTTTGTGATTTTTTTTTTTTTTTTTTTTTTTGAGATAGAGGCTCACAAAATATTTGCCTGGGCTGGCTTTGAACCATGATCCTCCTGATCTCTGCCTCCTGAGTGGCTAGAAGTACAGGAGTAAGCCACCATCACCTGGTGTGGCACAACTTTTGAATACACTAAAACTCACTGCATTGTGTAGTTTAAAAAGATGAATTTAATGGTATGTGAATTATATCTCAAAAAAAAAAACCCTTGGCGATGGAAGCCTGGCTCAAGTGGTAGAGAGCCTGCCTAGCAAGCACAAGGCCCTGAGTTCAAACCCCAGTATTGAAAAAAAAACAACTTTAAATCCCTTTTTTTAATTTATTTTTATTATCATTTTGTTGTTGTGCTGGGGGTACATTGTAACATTTACAAAAGTTCTTACAATATATCATACTTGAATTCACCCCCTCCATCATTCTCCTTTATCTCCCCTACCCCCATTTCTGGAATCATTTCAACAGGTCACATTTTTCCATTTTCATACAGGAGAACATGTTTCCACCAGATTGACCTTTCTAAAACCCTTAAACCTTAACACAGGACTTTATGAAGAAACAGCACGTCTCTACCTGAGCTGACTATAGCTAGCCATATGACTTTGAGAAAATGAACACCTCCTTTCTTACCTTGTAAAATGTAGAGAATAATACCTACTTCACCAGATTTTTATGAGTGTTAGCCAAAGCAATATGTAGTACATCTAGTACAGTGTCTGGCATTTGCTAAGAACCCAGTAAGTTTTCTAGAAACTTCTCAAAGAGGAGCTTCAGTAGCTTCTGGTTGTATTCTGGATACTACTATTTCAAGATATAACAACACTGTTTCCAGATAGTCAAGAAAAAGACCAAGTCTATTAGTCATTTTATTAAAACTCTTTAGATTCTGTTTCAAAGCTGTCTTTCCAAATTCCCCGCATGCTCCTTTAGAGAAACCCTTCGGTCAGAACGGACCTCCAGTTCGCTGTGCATGTTCTTGCACTTGTATCTTTGCCTGAAAGCCGATGATTCCTCACCATTGCCTCCCGCTGAATCTCACCCTGCCCTTAGTGCTCAGTGGAGTTGGTGCATTAAATTTTCCCCATTTTTTACAGCACATAGTCATCTCTGCTTTTTGTAGCACCCAGGGTTTTCGCTGTATTTTTGATCCATGAAGTCTTAAGTTATGTTTCAAAAGTCTCTACCTTCTTGGGTGACCTTTTTCAAAGTATGCATCCAAAATCCTCAGAAAGCCTTTGAGCACAGGAACTACAAATGATAATGCTTGACCTTTTCCAGAGCACTTAGCACATTGCCTTGACATGGTATATATTGAATAAATATTTAGTATTTATGAGTTAAGTTAGTGCCATATCTCAACAAGTACAAGGGCTTAAACTAATGATTCCTAAGCCTAGCTTGAGAATCACCTGAGAAATGAGGTTTCACTTTAGCCAGCAAATCATAATGTCTGGGCGCAAGGTCTCAGCGTCACACCAGGTGATCGATACTCTTATCACTCAGGCTGAGAACCATCGAACTCAACAGATGAAGTTATATGAGCCAGTGGTTACCAAGCCTAATTGATTATTGCAACCAAAATGTAAGGACCAGAGAAGGTTTGGGCATTGCAAAGTGCTCTACTGTATTATTATTTGTGCATTTGAGAGTGTTATTGCTTTGAGAAAGATCTCTAACCCTAATTTTTTTGAACAGCTAACAGTGTAATGGACACATCCAGTTATAGGCATCTGGAACCTTTTAAGTTCTACATAGTACCTTTACTAACAGATTATATGCCTTCATCCCTTTTACAAACTTAAACATTTTTAAACTGTTTTTTCTAGGCTGGCAACCATTCAGCAGCACTCCCTCCCAAGATTATCTATGTTCTCTTGCTCCTGTTGACACACCATGCTTGAAAGCAGGAGATGGGCACGTCAGTAGCCAACAGGACATGATCCAGGAGGAGCAGTGAGGGACAAAGCTGCTGGTAAGACAATGGGTACCATTGATGCTCATTTTGTAAATAGAAGTTTATTCCAGTTTAATGGTTGATTTGCTTTCCAACATCAACTCTGAGTCACTCTCAAATACCTATATTATCCATGCTTAGAACACAAGGATTAGATTTTAAGATAAATGAATCCTCTAAAGTTGTGTGCTGACTTTTATATGTATCTATGTTTTTCTGGATTAAAGGAGGGTTTTCAGCTGGACACAGTGACTTGCATCTGTAGTCCTAGCTACTTGAGAGACTGAGATGGGGAGGCTCACTGTTTGAGGCCAGCTGGGCAAAAAAAGTTCTCAAGACCCCAACTCATCCAATAGCTGGGTGTGGAGGAATGTATGTGTCATCCCAGTTGCATGGAGGCTGAGACCAGAAGGTCTGTGGTTCCCAGCCAGCCCAGGCAAAAGAATTCCCAAGACCCAATCTTAATGGAAAAAGCTGGGTATGGTGGACACGCCTGTCATCCCAGCTACAGCAGGAAGCGTAAAGTAAAATGATCCAGGCTGGCCTGGCCTGGGCAAAAAATGAGACCCTATCTCAAAAATAACCACAGCACAAAAGGCTAGAGGTGTTATGCCTGCCTAGCAACTCAAAGCCCCAGGTTCAAACCCTAGTATGATCAAAAAAGAAAGAAAGAAAGAAGGGAGAGTTTTTATCAGATTTTTGATGTCTGTGAATTTTTTTAAAAAGTAAGAAATATTCTGTCGCTGTGTGTCATAGTATTTCTCTCTTCTATATTTTACTCACTTGTTGGACTGATATGTAAGCACCTACTAGTCCTAGGCAGCCAGGTTTCATGATAATTTAGCATCAGAGAACTAAGGTGTGGAATGTCAGATTTCAGGACAGCCTATGTGATTTCTTCATATAAGTGTCTGAAAATGCGTAGTACAGGCAGTGAGAGGGGGAACACCAAATACTTTTTCACTGTCATCTTAAAATTGATTTTAATAAAGATCCTTTTGCTCTGAGTGCCATAGAACTGCAAATAACCATTCCAAACTAAGCATTCTTTGTCAGACTATTTTCACTTATTCATGAAAGAAGCGGGGAACTAATGTACTTTTATTCCCAAAATACTTAAAATGAAGACAAGAATGAATTCTTCTGTATATATCCTTGCCTGTACTTTAAGCCAGTTAAAATAAGAGGGACATTGAAGGACAGAAACTGAAGGTTAGGTAGAGAAAAGGAAGCATTAGGTATTTTTTTGCCTTCTGTAACTCTTAGCAGGTAATTCAGCTTCACTGAACCTTGGTTATGCTTTCAGCATATCAGGTCTTCTAAAGGCTGTGTAGTTATAATCTCTGCCCTCATTTCCAGCACTTGAGAATATAAGTATTCACTCTGCCGCTTGATACTTCTTAGAGGCTGACCTGGTGCTGAGAAATCCTTTCCAGTGTGTCCTCAGTTAAACTCCCATGATTCCTGGATGTTGCATTTTCACAGGGCAAGTGCCCTTGCCTAGATTACTCTCTGCTCTGGGAATTTTAAGTCATTGTGAGGGAAAGAGAACTCAGCACAGTAGTAACTCTCAGAATGAAAATTTTCCCCTTGCATGTTAATATTTATAGAGTATTCATTGTTACTGAAAATAGACTTCCTCTTTCCCCTCTCATGCTGGAAAATCTTAGGTAATTATGAATACAGCATTCTTTACTTTTCCCCTCCTCCTTTAATGATTGCTTTACTTCACAATGTGGGTGAGTACTGTGGCTACTCATTTGTTCTTGTTCTTTACTGGAGAACTGAGAACATATTTGTAATAAGGCATTATTATTTCTTTAGTGAAATCATAGCATTAGTCAGAAGATTTTCTCTTCTTGGAGGTGAAGGGTGGGTAAGGAAGGAAGTATAAAAGTTTATGAAAAAGTGTAAGATAAATAACTAATAAGAAATTAAAATATTGACTGCTTGGGAAAAAGGTTTATAAGTAGCTTTCTGAGCAGTTCTTTCCCTTCACACTGCCTTCAAAACCTTACTTTACATTTAGTTTTTACAGTTTGGTTAGCTCAGCCTAGGAATTATTTTCAGTAGTAAATAAGTATAGTGCTTATTTTTAGTATGTTTATTAGGAGAGGGTTCTTGGAGAAATTATTTAGCTCCTTTAAGCCTTGCTTTAATTGACAATAAGTGAAGTAAATAATAATAATAATAATGGATTGTTTTATGGGTAATATGTATGACCTATTGTAAGTTCTCAAATTGTAAGCTCTCAATTTTATGCTAGCACTTATTATTATTATTAATATTTATCATCCTTCTTAACGTTTATTTTAGTTTTTTTTTTCTTACTTTTTGAAGTGCCAGGAATGGAGACCAGTGCTTTGTGCATGCTAGATAAGTGCTCAACCACTGAGCTGCATCATGAGCAATCTTTCTGTTTTTAAAATGTGAATCCATTGGAATGTATTTCTTGTGCACGTATCAAATACTAGAGAATTTTCTAGCAAAGAGACAAAATCTCTGTTCTTTTTGAACTTTGAATCTGCAGTGGGAGATAAACAAAAATAAGAGTAAAAATTTAAAAGTAAGTAGGGCTGGGGGCTCAAGTGGTAGAGCACTTGTCTAGCATGCAAGAAGCTGCAGGTTCAACTCCTAGTACTGAAAAAAAAAAAAGGGCTCTGAATTGTAGCCTGAGCAACATGACAAGACTCCATCTCTTTAAAACAGATACATAAATTATATCTGATAAAAAGAAATTGGGTGTCATGGTGAAGTAATAATAAAGATATAATAGAGAAGTCTTCACAAGAAGATTGTTTTGAGTAAAAACACGATAAAGGTAAAGAAAGAAAACATAAACTTATACAAGAGAAAATATTCCAGGTAATGGAAAAAAAAACATGAAAAACTATTCAAAGAGAATCAGCATTGTATACAACTTAGTCATGTACCATCAGTAAATATTTACACATATCCACAAGTAAGGGATAATGGATTAGAACGTTAACGTTCAAGGAGTGGCAAGGTCCATTTGGACTGTAACAGTTAGAGGAGGCTTTGCAAGGGACTGTGGCAGGGCAGAGCATGGATCTGAAGAATTTGGATAGATAACAAGGAAGGGCATCCCAGTGGAGAGAAATGGAGGGAAGCAGTACAAGATGGAGGTCAGGGACAGGGAGGCAACCTTGTATAGAGTTTATGCTGGCAAGTAGTGAAAGAAAAGATGGAAAATCAAAGTAAGGCTGGAATTTTATAAACCCTAAGGATCAAACTAGAGATTATTGTATGCTATCCTTCAAGTATTTTGTCTTGAAACAGAAGTGAAGCAAGTTGAGTAGCAAGCACATCTTTATATCTTTAGTAATATTGTTTTTGACAAATTTTAAAAAGTAGGGAAGAGGAGGTATTAGAGTGATTCATAAGTGAGATTGAGAACATGGATTATGATAAGAAAGTTAATGAAAAGAAAAGATAGATTAGATATATTTAAAAAAAATCAGGAGGACTTAATTTGTTAATTCCATATAGAAGATGGAGAGGAATCAAAGATTTCTCTTAAAAGTTTTAAAATAACCAATCAAGTTTTGTGCTTAAAGGAATTAGGACATTGTAGTGAGTTTGAATCCAAAGTGAGTGAGGTAAAACAATTCAATGTAGACATCCTAAAGATAAAGTTCATATAATGTTTGACGTGCAAGTTGAATTAATTTTCTAGGCTCCACTTTTACCATGCATTAAAATTCAGGTAAATACTAACATAGTATATATGTATCCAAACCTTGCATTTTCATTCCAAGTTGGAGTAACAGAATCAAAGCAATACATATTTGAGAATATTAGATATCCCTTGGTCACACTGGACAGTTTATAAAAGGAATAAAGGATACCTGGAGATGTCACATGATTTCTCCAACTTCATGTCACTTGCTATTATAGAACATGGTCCAGCCGGGGTCTCCATGTTGAGAATTTTCCTTTTACTCTCCATGCTAGCTGTTTTCTTTTTTTTTCTTTTGCTCCATGCTACCTATAGGAAAGTGTTAAAAGAGTTGTATTTTGCCATTAGCATTGTCTTGTCATTAGCATTTTCTTGTAGTCTTTTTTTTTCCAGTTGCCATAGACATTTTTTATTCTTTCTTGTGGAACATATATAACTTGTTTAGAAGCTCTCTCTTTTAATTAAATTAACCATTTTTCTCCCAACTTCATTGTTGAAGTTTCCTGATTTAAAATAAGTCTTTCTACTTCCAATAGTTTGAGAAGAAATAATTATTTGTTATGTTGTGGTCCTTTTCTGCTTGTCTTTCAGGGGGAAAAATACTTTTTATTAGCTGAAAAACCAATGGCCTACAGCAAACTGATTCACACTATGTTCTCCTGGTATTCTTGATGTACTGCTGATTACTCTTCAGTTTTAAAACACCACTTAGACTTTAAAATTAAAACTTTAGTGCTCTTTCCTTACAGACCATTCTTATGTACTAGAGTCTGTGGTCATTGTTCTAACAAGCTTAACCAACTTATCCTTTGACTCATAAGATTTTTGTTTTTCCTGAGACAAGGTCTTATTATGTTGCCTAAGCTAGCCTCAAACTCAGGGACTCAAATGGTCCTCCTGCCTCAACCTCCTGAGTAACTAGGCTACAGACACACACCAGAACATCTGGTTGTCACAAGATTTTAAGACAGAAATACTCTATGGCTCATTTAATGCAGTTCCCCTCCAACTGGTACTTTGAATTATTTTTGTTGTTTTTTTCTTTTTAATAAAATGTAATCATTTAGTGAGTGAGCAGATGTATATTTAAAAGAAAAAATTCTGTTTATACTAGCTTCATAATTATTTCTTTACTCTCTCCATAACTTATGCCACAGTATGATGCAAATCATGGCTGAAATATGTCAAATCAAATCCCCTGTCATATATGGTGCCTTTGTGTGTATGTTAACACCCGGATTGATCTCTGTAGTCTGTGTTTCTCATGGGACTGGTTAGAGGAGACCATTGGCGTTCTCATGGGTTCAGCTGAGAACTC